AGGAATTCTCGAGCCTGTCTGGTTTTAGCCATTGCGACTACTTCAGTACCGCCCCAACTGAAGCGGTGGTCATAATCAAGGGCGTGCGCAAACTCGAGAGCCAGATGGTCGCGTCAGCGGAGGGTTAACTTGTGTTCCATAATGCGAGTCCCATGACGTCGGCCTGTATGGCCAATATAAACACAAGGGCAGTTGACGCATGGCCTACCGTATCTGCAACAGTGATGACTTGCTTAAGAAAGAACTAGCCTAATTACATCGGTTATTCCGGCCCAACGGATATCCGGCCAGTTTTGTAAAAAAAATTGTCTCAGACGCCAGAGACAACCACCAAGACCTTATTCTAATGGAGATGGAGTGCCGCAGAAATTTTGTTCACTGTCGAACCTCCGACGTCATCTACTTAACCTATAGTTTATTATTGTTTGGTATTGCTGTCTGTATTTCAGTAACGTTTTTTTAACTTTATTATTATCTTAATTCCACTGAATATGAATGTTGGCATTCAGTTCGTCTCTCTCAGAAACTGAAATCACATCAATAGTCTATAGCGCAATTATGCATAGACTGAATACTGTAAAACACATTTAGTAATGCTAATGTTTTTAACACTTGGAACAATTCGTTTATCCGACCGGTTGCGAAGAGATTCTGTAGCTGATTGATGTTTTCATTTTCGAAATTTTTATATTATTCGCTTCCTTGTAACAAGCAGGAAGTCCAAACGTTCAACACGTACGTTTCCCTTAGATAAACTAAACTGAACTGAATTCAAAGCATTTCTGAAACACTCTCGGAACAATTAAAACACTTTGGCATCTCTATCGTCCATAAGTCCGCATCTTCACTACCCGAAGCATCATGCCGAGTTAAGGACCCGATGCCCAAAGAACAACTAGCTAATGTCATCTATCGAATCCCGTATTTACCATAAATCGGTGCCCACCCCTCTCACGCATTAGCTGTCTGTTTGTCTGTATGCCCTGTCGCGCCAACCAACCTGGTATGCCGATTTCACTTTCTCCTCTGTTTATTTTGTCTGACGACGAATTGGCGTCATCAACTTGAAAATTCACGATCACAACTCGATTTTTCCGAAGAGCCTTCCCTTTTTCATTGCAAAGTATGTTTATCGGAACATAACGTTTTTGTAAACAAACCTAGCTATTAAAACCGAGGTAGTAGTATGAATTAATGGTACAGGAGACGCGCGCCCATCGCGTCTCGGAACTTGCTCGCCCCTTGTGCCTGTGGACCCCTACTCTCGAGCCCCGCCAGCAGGCCCACACAAGCGCATAATTGTATTACCGACAAAGGCAAGGGAGACTGAAGTAGCCAGTTCTGACTTTTTAGACGACAACAGTCAGCCATACCCAATCTCGATGAACATGACCTCAGAGGCTCGAACTCCAACCTCCGGGTTGCGTGTGGCTGGCTGATGTCGCTCGACATGTTAGAAGTGGCCATTCCAGTCTCTCTTGTCTCTGCGGATAATGCTATTCTGGCAGTGTGCTTTTAGGCAGAATGATATTACCGACAAAGACCAGGGAGACTGGAATGGCCATTTCTGGCGTATTGGCCATCGTCAGCCAGTCATACCCAACCCCGAAGTGTAGAACACCCGAGGTTCGAACTCGCGACCTGTTTGTTAGAATCCACGCCTCTAACCACTGAGCCACGAGCCCACTGCCCTGTCGGTTTTCGATCGGGAATATACAATGGTAGGGGGCGCTCACCGATCGTTCTTACGGGACTCACTCGTTCCGTTGTGCCTTACGGGCTCTCTCTTGAGCCCAACCAGCAGCCGCACAGCGGCGCATGATATAGGCAGAATGGCAATACCGACAAAGACAAGGGAGACTGGAATGGCCATTTCTGGCTTATTAGCTGTAGTCAGCCAGCTGGTTATGAGTGGTCCGATTCTTCTTCGTCTTAATGATATTATGTGCATCAGCATACACTTCTATGTAGTCTATTTTAGGGTAATAGGCAGTGCCCTTAATGACCCTGTTGAAAACGGTACATACGTTATAAATGCTAAATGTATACATCTTACTAAACGTTTGTCAGTAACATATTTGTTTACGGAAACCGTTTTTATAGTGCGGGACTGCGAAGGGTGCGGCAGGTGGTCTTTTCAATGTACATATGAAATTTTAAGTGCAATTATATACAATCAGCATAAAGTGCAGTCATTTGCGTAGTTTCGAATGGAAAATTTCATTAAACTTCAGGGATGTGTTTCATCTGTGACACCACATCTAGCTCCAATCCCGCAGCTTTTCCATGTTTTGTTCTAGTGCTGTACATGTCCCTAAAACGGGCTATGCGATGGATGCGCTAGACCAACAAGGGGGTCACACTGGATCCTGGCAGGCGTTGTCAGAATGCGCGCCACAACAAATGCCAGTAATCGGGGGTGGTCGCTGGTCCGTTTGTCGGTCCACGTCACGCTGATTGGGACCCCCGCCGCCCCCAATTGTTTGTTTTAGACTAGGGGGTGTGGGGGTACACCTAGACGCGAGCCCGGTCGTGCCAGGCTTCTCCCCATTCTCGCCTTCGGTCTTCTTTACTGCGTCTTGACACCGGGTCCAGTTGAGAGAGGAGGGGGTGCGGTAGATGCTGTGCAAGTCCACTACCGCTATAAACCAACTTACACATAAGTCACCGTGCATACTCTCGCCCTACTGTGGATAGTTCGCTATCTTACTCTTAACAAAGGTTAACTAAACTAGACGGTACCAAGTGAGGAATGCAATGGCCTATGACAGACGTTGCTGTTTCGGCTGACCCAATCTTCGCAAGCAGGGCAACAGAAGACCCACCTGAAAACAAAGGTAACCACCGGTGGCAATGTAGACACAACGCAATCGCCCCCTTCGAATCAGGCATCAGCTAGGTCAGTCAGCCAAGATTCGATCGCGACTTGTGAAAGAACCAATGCGGAAGTCGAAAACATCAATCACCCTGCCAGACTGTCCCATAAAAGTCCATGTGGTCATACGTGCCTACATGAAATTGTTTCGTAAAATAGCACAATACAGGTATCCATACAAAACCTTACTCTACGCTAATAATTAGGCACGCGGGTAGCGCACAGGTGAACACTTCCCAACACCAGGGTCGGTGCGTCAGTCGATCGAGTAATCATCACACAAACATCCAACGCAGGCGATGAAATTGTAGCAATTAACGACGCCAATGTCAGCCATCACACCACATGCAACGATCCCTGATGATGGGGGAAGCCGTGAACATTCATAGGTATGTGGTAGCATGGCGACTGAATCCTATAAATACTGCAGCCCCTTGTGCATGGACCACCCGTATCTGCTTTTGTCTCTGATGATGGGTTCGAGCAGGAAACCGAAACATCAGGCTAATCAGGCTCTTGTCCGAGCGATCGTGTCTTCTTCTTCAAAACCTTACTCTACACAGATACACAGACAGACTTAGACGTCAACCATGGACGGCGTGGCAGCCCAGGCCGCCCGTGAAGCTGTGGTGAGGTACCGGACTAATTTACCTTTGACAATTTAGTCCCGTTTTCTTTACGCCGATTACTTGTTTGAATGTGACAAAAAGCAACACACTTGTACAACCCGCCTTGCTGGCCTGCTTTGCTGTCACGCTCTGTTGTCAGGTAACTTAACGTTCAGAATCTCTATATTATTCATTGCTCTGTTTTACATGCTGCCTTTAAGGCTAGGGGGCGCGTGAGATATGACTCGTTAGTTCGTGAGAACCTTACCATTTACGTCATTGGTGACCCCGACGCTACACGAACACGCAACCATCTGACTCCACAAAGCAATCGCCCGATGCACTGTGCCGACGTCATTATGTGGGCCCGCGCAGGAAGCTGCGCTGTAGATATACTGCTCCGACATGAGGGCCAGACTGAGATCCAGCACATGTTAAGCGGGTAACACATAATTCGCGTATCTCCCTACATGGGTCCAGCACATTGGGCGTGTGGTGGCAGACCCAGGCGCAGGCCTGTAGCGGACAGCCAACATGACCTCGCTGCCTCAAGGTCATTCATTCACCCCTTGCAGCGAGGCGTCCCAGACGAGCCTATCGGAGGCCACTCGACCGACTTCAGCTCGGACACAATTGCGTTCACACAGCATCGCGGCTATCCATGCGCCACTTGAACGCGCCACCCCCTGCAACCAGCAACACAAGCCACTGGGACACCAACCCTCGGCAAATGCAACACACACTCACTGGCCACCACTTGAGCTTGGCTGCCACCACTATCTCAGGGACTCTAAGGCATGACTGGACGCAGTCAACAACAGCCCTGGCTTTGCCAGTGGCCACTGCCGCCTGAGAGGACAACTCCGGGTTCTGCCCATAATAAAGCCCTCATTCTGGTGCCTTCTTTCTTCCCCCTCCAACATAGGACTAGCCCTGTTTATGGTGGCGCTCTGACTGCACACATTCTCACCGCCTAACCGCCAGGCACTGCGCCCCATCCTAGCACCCGGCAGCTGATCGGATCAGGGGAGGGTAAAGAGGACTGGTTGGATTCCGGGAATCCTCTTGCCACGGTTTGCTGGCGCACCGCTCGCTTTAATAAATCTGTGGCGCCGTATCCACCGTGAAGCGATAAAGGGAAGGCTGCCAGCATCCAGTAATATATGTTTATGTAATTTATTAAGTTTGGGCCACGTCGCACACCGCTGTTCGCATTCACCACGATGCCTGTAGACTAAACAATTTTACTTCTTTCCCCGTACCTTAAGTGTACCTCAACTGTCCGCTGTATTTTGATCAACAAAGCAAGCTAATGTGCCTCTAAACTCTGTTGACGCATGACATTCTGTGTTCATCTGTACAGTTTTTGCTATTCCCCTCGCATTTCTTTCATGTTACTTCCTTTCCATTTCCTCCATATATATCCTCTGCATGTAACCAATAGGGATTTTTAAAGGTACACACCTACTTTCCCTGAAATATACTGATACTGATACTAACACCTGGCTGTGGTGCTGATGGTGCGTGATGATGATGATGATGATGATGATGATGACGACGACGACGACGACGACGACGATGACGACGACGACGACGACGACGACGACGATGATGATGATGATAAATCTGTGCCGCCGTATCCACCGTGAAGTGATAAAGGTCGTGGCTGGGAAGGCTGCTAACAAACCGAGTAACTCACTCCCCTCAGGACGGAGATTCAGGCCGAGACGACCCTTTATGAGCGCGACCTCTACAAAATTTCAACTTATATGGGATCCGAGCGGCCCCTTTTCGTGAAAACCACCCCCTATATGGATACCAGCTCGTGTGAGGAACGCGTAAACGGTGTGTTAGTGTTGTCAGGAATTGTGCCCGTATTCGCCTCTAGTCGCCCTAACTCTGTTCTGCCAACGGGATCCAAGGCGTGAAGGAAGAAGGAGGGTGGAAGGTCATAGGTCACTAAGGAAAAAACAAATTCGCATGCAAGTCACCATCCTGCGCTCATTACATTGCGGGGCACATGGTAGACAACGTAGTTCGCAACAATTGAACTGTGATTTGAGTATGTTTGTATCTCCCATTTGCGTTCCAGTCTGGTTAGTTCACGTAGAATGATGTAACAGAAGGCGCGTTGCACACGTAGATGGGGGCTTCAACACCATGCCAGGCTCGCCGACCATTTCCATTACCGGCCGGCCAAGTCCTGGACGGGCTAGTGCGACAGCAGAGAGGGCATAACAAGGTGGATTATGAAGTATTCCCATTGAAAATCAGTTTACTCCGCACGATGAAAGTGTATGCGTTTTCTAATCTATCCTGGAGAACCAGAAGTGGCGGCTTTTTAAAATGTCAGCTAGCAGGGGACCTCGGTCCCCAGCTGCAACAAGAACCAAGCCACGTTGGCCTTATCATACGGCCTCTCTATATATATATATATATATATATATATATATATTCACCTGATTATTCTCTGGAGTTCATATACCGGAAGCCGCTAGAGAACGCTGGGGGTCCCACTGAAGAGCCGAACCCCTCGCAGCTGTGTCACGCAGCGGCAGAATATCGGCGAAACACGTGTCTGGGCTTTTAGCAAGTATCTAGGTCGGGAGTACGGTATAATACCTTTACCATATGAACTTTATACTACTCGTAGTACTACTTGTTTGTAGAATGGGCATTACGTGGTTATTCCACAGTAGTTGATTGTCTTCGACTCAAATGTTCATTGAAATTTCGGTTCTGACCCTAAAATGTCATGTCCCGGAGATTTAACTCCAAGTTCTGCACTGATTAATTTCTGAAATTATTCACCTGATATATATATATGTATATTGCTAATAGAAGCGAAGATTCGAGTCCCCGGACATAAATGGGAAGAAGAGGCGATCTCGGGAACCATAATTGTATTGTCCTGACGTTTCAAAAGCAGACAAGCTTTCATCGTCGGAGGTGAGTATCGTACGGCATCACACAGTATTTATAGGAGGGGGATAGATATCAGTCATGCTAACACGGTGGTAATTATAGGGGGGAGGGGGTGGTTAATCGGCTTTGGCGCTAATGGCCCGCATACGCACAGGGATCGTCTATGTAGTCGCCGGGGCAGAGCGGGAGGGAGGGTGACTGCTGTCAATCTGCCTGTCTCTCGTCGGGGGGCGGCATTTAAACGTTGGTCGCCATCGCCCGCATTCGCGTTGACCTTAATTGTCGTGCTGGGTTGCTAGTCTTGATTGCATCCCTCTGATCGCGTTTCTCCCCGTCAGGCCAAAATCGGGTGACAGAACAGCCAAAAGTCTGGCGTGCACTGCCATACATCGACGGCGTCTCTGAGGCAGTTTCCCGCCTCCTAAGGCCCTTGGGGATCGGGATCGCTCATCGACCAGACTCAACCATTCGGCATTTGGTTATGAGACCGAAGGCCCCCCTGCCACGAGGTGAGACGACAAACGTCATCTACCGGGTCCAGTGTAACTCTTGTCAAGCAAACTACGTCGGAGAGACAGGCAAACGGTTACAAACTCGCGTTAATGAACACATGCGGGCAGTGAGGAGAATGGACCCATTGTCTCTGGTGGCGGAACACTGCGCGGACTCTGGACACACTTTTGCCTTCCAGAACGCCAAAATTCTGGGTCGAGGCAACGACCGCGTAGCCAGGGAAACGATCGAGGCCTGGCACACGGAAACAACCTCAATAAACCGTTGCGTCGCCCTCCCGACAGCATACCAAGCCCTCCAGACGCAGCTCAACGAACTAAAGGGCAAGCGCGAGGTCAGGCCGGACGTGGATCTAAACACGGGAGAGCCTACGACGGACCTGCACGTAGCCATACCGCAAATCGGGCCCGACGAAGGCGCAGTCATCAATACTGTTGCCTCAACTACTACTCCGGCAGACGGGGAGAAACGCGATCAGAGGGATGCAATCAAGACTAGCAACCCAGCACGACAATTAAGGTCAACGCGAATGCGGGCGATGGCGACCAACGTTCAAATGCCGCCCCCCGACGAGAGACAGGCAGATTGACAGCAGTCACCCTCCCTCCCGCTCTGCCCCGGCGACTACATAGACGATCCCTGTGCGTATGCGGGCCATTAGCGCCAAAGCCGATTAACCACCCCCTCCCCCCTATAATTACCACCGTGTTAGCATGACTGATATCTATCCCCCTCCTATAAATACTGTGTGATGCCGTACGATACTCACCTCCGACGATGAAAGCTTGTCTGCTTTTGAAACGTCAGGACAATACAATTATGGTTCCCGAGATCGCCTCTTCTTCCCATATATATATATATATATATATATATATATATATATATATATATATATGCGGGATTCAAGTCCCGTGTGACAAGAGTTAAGCGACAAATCCATATCCTGTCAGTTACGGACCCCAGCCTCCAGCCCGATCAGGCACCTCTGACAGGCCCTTTTCGTTTGGGACAGCAAAGAGGAAGAAGGGAGAGAGAGAGAGAGAGAGTTCAATCCAGTGTTTAAAATCCATATTAGGAACAATAAAACGCGCTTTAGAACCACCATGACGCCTTAAAGGCCCTGGCTTAGAACGTTGATGGGGTATCTCAGTCACCGCTCGAATGGCTCCTTTCGAATGTGCCCTCTAGAGCCTGGCACGCGTGGAAGTGGGACCAGTTCATGTCTGTTTTCCGTAAGGGACTGGTCAACCCTGCCTGCCATCGTGCCCACGCTCACCTCCGGTCAGTACAGTAAGTGGGCTAACTCATGAAATCTCAGCAGAAATTCCGAAATGCGTTTCCGTTTCGAAAAGATCAATTAAGTAGGATTGTAAAGCTAATCATCGTGCAGCGTAATTATACAACAATTCAGTTACCTTAGGACGCCGGCTTTCGAACAAGCCCCTTTTTAGGTGCATCCAAAAACCGTACCCAGTAAAAAAATGACTACTTAAGTAGCGTGTATTTTTTTCATTGATTTTCGATGCCCTTAAAGATTCAATTGTATTTCATGGAAAACATGCATACAAATAATCATTTTTCTGCTCATTCAGTAGAAAATGATGTCTCCTTTTAACGTTCTTCATGAAGGAAGTCTATAATTCGGTTTTCAAAATCTTTTCCAATTTCCGAATAATTTTGAACCCAACCTGCCGATACACCTGCATTCAGGGTTCCCAAACTACAAGCCGTATAATTTACGCGCACGGAAAGCCATACATTTCTCTATGGTAACAAAGGGAGACCCTATAGGGTTTATAAAATTAAACAGTGGATTTGAGCCACATTGGTAGATGCAGAGACATGACGTTTTATAAAGGGCCATTTAACGGCATTAAAAAAATTAGAAACTTTTTAAAACCGGATTATACCCTTCCTTCGAGTGTAAAATTTAAACAAGACGTAATTTTCTACCGAATGAGTAAAAGGATGAACACTTTTCTGCGTGTTTTCCATGAAATACAATTAAATCTTTAAGGGCATCGAAAATCAATGAAAAAATGCATGCTACTTAAGTAGTCATTTTTTACGGAGTATGGTTTTTGGATGCGGCCGAAAAATAGTTTGTTCCAAAGTCGGCATCCTGTGGTAACTGAAATGTTATAGAATTGTGCTGCACGATGATTGGTCTTACAACCTTACTTAATTAATCTTTTCAAAACGGAAACGCATTTCGGAATTTCTGCTGAGATTTCATGATTTAGCCCACCTACTGTACAAGCCTGTCTTACTACAAACAGCCCCAAAAACAAGTCACCACTACCACATCCTCATAAGCCAGTGATGGACTTCGTCGCAGGCGAACTTCCAAAAACAACGGTTGTTGAATCTCGATGACGTGTGGGTGTAGAGCAGAAAAAGTACAGTCAGAGCGCGATATCGCGGACGCATTCTACAAGACCTGGGTCAGATATGTGATCAGGAGAAGGTTTTAGGCTCTCGTGAGAAGTATTTAGAGATCCTGTGTGCCAGTATTCATGCATATATTGGCCTAGAGATAAGTCGGTTTTCCGTCAGACATCTCAGTATCGTTGTAAGGTCACTGATATCCACTGCCACTTTAATTTAGTAATCCGATCTTCATTGATTCTTTTTATTGTCAGCCGTCATCAGTGGTTAAAAAAATTCCAGCGTGAACCGTGCTCTGGAGTTGCACTGCAGGTCACGGGGTGAGAATGTACTCTCGAAGTATACGCACGGTGTGCACGCCCACATGCCTCCGTTGTGAACACACGCCAGCAAGAAACACCCACTGATACAGGCTTTGATTTGTCTGTCTGTTTGTTTAACCTGAGGCAGCGCGCATTTCTGAAAACCGTGGCGTTGCAGAAAGGCAGATTTAAGGAATATGTAAAAAGGCTCAGCAAGTTCGCACATAGAGCCTGCACATATCTTTAACGTAAGTAACCACAAGTCGGAGTTATTAATAGTAGCTCTCCCCGAAATTGATGCTGAAGTTTATCCCCAGAGCGAAGGATTACAGCTGTCCAAATTCAGGGCTGATGAGGCTCTTACAGGAATCATAAGTGTCCGGTAAATAAAACTCCTGTTGCATCGATTGCAGCTTCTTCTTGAGAATTGCTGTAGTTCAGAACTCACTTCTAAAAGTGTAAAACACGGTCGGAAACTTTATTCTCTTTATATGCTGCATGCTATTCTGAGACTATCTGTCATGAAGGAAGCCGAAATTTCGAGTTCCATGTGTATGCACAAGTGAATAAGGGTCGAACACCGGAACAAACATTCTTCACTTGTGCGGGAGAGACCTATGAACAAATAAAGGGAACCCCAATCGTTCACCGGTCTCCGGTTTAATGGCAGAACTGGTCCTACCGGACTTAGAAAAGATTGCCTTCATCAAACATGAGCCGGTATTAAGGCGCCGTTACGTAGAAGACACGTTCGTCATCGTAAAGAAGGACATGCTGCAACAGTTCCACAGCCTGCTCAACGCAGTCTTCCTTGGTATAAAATTAACGAGGGAAGAAGAACAGGAACAGCAGTTGCCCTTCCTAGATGTGCTCGTCAGACGAAACCTTAACGGTGAACTTAAACGACCGTGTATAGGAAGGCAACGAACACCACGCAGTTTCTCATTTTTCACAGGAACCATTCGGTGGTTCACAAGCGAAGCTGTGTGAAGACGCTCTTCAAACGGATCCAAGTTCATCGCGGTAAATCAGAAAAACGAGCACGTGAGACTCGTTATCTCCGCAACCAGTTCTCGCGAAATGGCTATCCGAAGGCATTCATAAGTCACTGCCTACGCCGTCGACCCCAGAGGACGCAAACATCAACATCAACAACGATATGGAATTCTCTGCCATACATCAAGGGTGTTTCAGAAGCAACCGTGTGCACTGCTGCGGAGCTAGGCGTTGGAATTGCACACCGTCACAAAGCCACCATGCGCAATAGAGTCATGAAAATCAAAGACTGATTAAAGCTTGTGGAGAAATCTGGAGTGGTGTATCGCATCTTGTGTAAAAACTGTCCTTCTAACTACACAGGGCAGACTGGGCGTATGCTCGGATCGCGCATACACGAACACAAGCTGGCTGTCCGACGAGACAAGGCATTATCACAAGTGGCCGCCCACGCCTATGAAATGGGTCATGGGTTTAACTTCACAGACATCAAAGCAGTCGTTCACACCGGAAATAAAACAGGCCGTGAATTGATTTAAGCCTGGGCCTCGGGTGAGAACTCAGTCAATCGGTTTATCGATCTGGTGCCGGCGTACAGGGCCTTGCGCAGTCACCTTCAGTCTTGTGTCGTCGGCCGATGATTGGCCTACACGCCCTATAACTGTCGCTTGTTCTGTTGTTGTTACTACCTCCGACGACGGACTCCTGCACGAGTCTGAATGCTCAGGGCAATAAACGAAGTGTTACGGTGCTCGACCCTTCTCCTTCACTATCTGCCATCATTGCGTGCTTTCAGCGCTACCATAAACATCTGCTGGCCGCGTATCCAGACAACGGACAGTCAGGCAGGCTACATTCAAGTTGGCTTAAGGTTCCGCAACTGGATACACTATATCACATCAATACGTGGTGGCGTGGTGCCCCTAGGTCTGGCCATGTTCTCGTTCGCACACGTTCATCCCTCTTCTACACCCCGGATGTCACATGTACGTCGTCTTAAAACGATGTCATAAAACTTCCATAAACCAGCACCACCGGGGAGCTGAGCAGATAAGTCTGGTCCTGGTTTACGAGCCGAGTCGACGGAGAAGGCAATGACTAATGGTCATCATGGAAGTCATTCGTCCTTGAAACCCCCCAGCAACGTCACAGTGACTGGATCAGCGGAAGAATCCTGTAGTTGTCTGCCAGGTGCTTCCTCCAGCCAACTCCGCAAAATGACGGCCAAGAAGGCAAGGAATGACCAGCAGAACTACAGTGCTGAAACAGCGACCTCCATGGAACAGGCCTTAAGCGTTGGTGGCACTCGAAAACACTGCCACACTATCCGTGAATTTAGTAATAACCCTTTGATACATAGTGACTCTGTTGGCGATACTAATGGCGGTTTTATGGCTGAAAACTCGGCCGGTCGCTGGAGTGAGTATTTCGAGCATCGCCTCAACTTTAATGAGCAACCTATTACACCTCCGCTCTCCTCTTCAGCGCAGTTCCATCCCTCTCCAGTCCTTACAGCGTCGTGCGAACCTCCCCCCCACCCCTGAGGAAGTTGCCAACGCAGTACAGAGGTTGCGCAACTACAAGGTGTCGAGGTGGATATTCTTGCCGAAATCTACTAGTTTTGCGTTGACACACTGGCGCCTTGGCTCCATGAGGTGATTGAGCAAGTGCGTTGACAGGAAGTCACTCCTAATGGCTGGGGCTCAGGCGTCCTTGTGCCCGTGTTCAAGAAGAGAGATAAAACCAAGTGCGAAGACTACCGCGGCATAAGTCTTGTCGATGCTGCTGCAAAGGACTTCAATGTTGTGCGTGACTCGAAGACGAGACCCCCATTAAGCCGGGTCTCGAGCTGGGTGCGAATCCTCGAAGTAAATATTCTCAACGCGACAAATTTCAGAATCCG